TACTGTACAGTATCTACCATCTTTTGGTAAGGGTTTGGAAACATTTGTACAAATATTCCCACAAGCAGCCAGTGATGCCATTAAAACCAAGCACGCTTCCATCTTACAAACTTCCACAAGGATACAGACTCATTGTAACGTACAAAACGCATCAACAATTGCTTCTACCATATTAATATTTTGCGACTGCTCTCCCAGAAAGTGTTTTGAAGTATGCTACACAAAGCTCAGAAACAAAAGGATAAAGCACTAATCGAATATCGAAATTCTTCAGAAATATTTTCTTATTGCATGAAATATCTCATATAATAAAGGAATGGTCTGGTTTGGTGAAATTAGTACATACTAACACAGTGAAGGGTATACATAAACTGGCATACTCAATAGATGCAACTTACAATATCCTCACAGATGTAGCCCATTGCTTGATGCGTAGCTTCCTTCATCTCTGTACTTGTTGAGTCGATGACATTGTTCACCATTACACCTATGCACTGGCCAACAGGAAGCTCTGCTACCGCTACATACGCTACACATTGCGCCGCTGAACTTGGTCTGTTATTCTCGGTACCAAGAGAAGCTAGGATCTAGTTAAAAAAAACACCCGATATCATCCAAGTACGTCAGGTTTTACAATTAAAAGTGTCGACAATTTAACATGATATTCAATACATAAAGTAATGCAGAATGATCAGGTTATTCTATAGGGCTTCATGTATGTCACACAAGTCAACTGTGAAATGTCAAATACTTTATAAATTTCATCCAATTAAACATAAATGTGGTTGTAAATTAATAATGCAACAACCTAACCTCAAATTGCCTGGTAGAATCTGACATGTTATAGGATAAGAAACCTCTGTTCACCTATACAGCTAGATAAAATATCTCTGCCTTATTAAAAACTTTGCAATAGGCTGTGTAATATTTATCACTGTAATGTCAATAACCACTACAACCTGCAACCTTCTCTCTCTCTCGATAAGTGGCAAAGTCACGATGTATTACTAAATATAAGCAAGTTTAATCACAGAAAACAAGTACAAATTAAAGAATTTTTGTCCTTTGAACATTGAGTTCTTTTGGAGGACCACACAGTTTGTAGTGCTGAGGAATACATGAAACAGGAAATAGAAACTTATACACATTCCACATACACAAAAGTTAACAAGAATGACAAGAGGATGTGAATAAGTCACAAAATACAAAACATACAGACAACTACAACTCAAAATACTACAAAAACTCCATCTAAAATAAAGGTTGCACATGAATTATACAAACGTTAGCTACGTCCATACATATAAAGTTATTAAACATAAAAAACCTTATAAATAATGTTTAAACACCAGGAATTCACCAACAGAGTAAAACAAGTGTGTATTAATTAAGTAACTTCTTCATTTATGTAGGATTTCAGGTTTTCATGGTGGCAGGTCTGAAGATTGCCAGGAGTTGGGTGGAGAGTGGAAGGGAGCACTGGCCAGGGCCGGATGTGCCCTGAAATGGGGGGGGGAGCCACTCTGGTGTGTGGTGTGCCATACCGTGAAATCATACAAAGAAATTCTTGAATAACCAATCGGTACTCAGTGCCTTCTCAGCATGTAAATTCTAAAAGGGTATACTCACATTTAAGAAATACAGTTATTTTGAATCTGATTACTTTCTTTTGGCAATTGCTCAGATTTGCTTTTCCCAAAGAATGGCCCTCACTGTAAGTTACTGCTATATCAAAGGGGTCACATAAAGAAGTACCATGATCTGCATTTGACCCATAACCCATTGGTTGCTTACCTTTGGTTCAGGCCATTTTTCAAACATAATGTCAATACAACTACCCCAATACTAAAGTATGAGATAACTTTATTGAATGGTTTGAACACAAAACTCACCGTAACACCAACAAATTGTTTATATAAAAATTTCTAATAGTAATATGATATAAAATTACATTTTTCTTCACGTAAGCTCTGGTTTCCTCTGGAAAGGCAAGCCAGCATTGCTGGTATTGTTTTTTAACATCAGGATCTTTAGATGTAAGCGTATTCTTGAGCTGGAGTCCTGCTGCCATCCTTACCACTGGACTAATCCAACTACACTCAAGAATTTCAGACAAGGTCTTCACAAATTCTGGCTGTACACATAAATAAGAAAACGGGTTAACAATCATGCCTGTACTTCCTAAGAATCGTAGATTGTATTCATTACAGAAAACGTGTTTGCAATGATGTAAAGTTATTGAGGTAATTTATACATACCAAGTTAGTTTGTGCCGCTTGTTCCAAATAAGTTTGGGCTGCCTCCAATTCAGGATTATCTATAAAAATTTCAAACACAAACTGTTTCAACATTCATTACAACTAGCACAATAAACTTGCACAATTCATAAAACAGCAAATATCAGAGTCCACCATATGAAGGTATATTGATTTAACTGGGATATTTGTACGCCCAATAGAACGACCTCGCATAAAAGTCATCATATTTCAATTAGGAAAAGTAAAATTACGGGAAAAGTTCACATTAAGTTTCTGAAAAATATCCAAACTTATCTGCGTTACATAAGAGGCCAGGAGACATCTGTAACGAATTGTCTTCTTAGAAACAATGACTGAACTTTGAATTAATTGTGCATGTTTTACACACATACCTGGTAAAGTAGTCTTTTCTAATAATTCTGTAAGTGCAGAAAAAAAATCTTCATCCATTGTGATCGCAATCGGCGCTATATTGTCAACACTTTATAAATACTTTATATGAGTAATATTCTTCGCTTCTTCTGCCGGCATTCGCCCACATGTACAATATACCACTGCGCAGTAATACCACACTAATATTACAAAATATGAAGAAATAACGTGTGCAATTTAATTAATGAAGTATGATAATTTTATATACTTTTAATTATATCGTGCACCTTTATAAACTAAAATCTGTCTCCTATAAATAACTACGTACTAATACACCATGATCTATATTCTGTTATACATCATGGCCTCCGGGTCATGAAAAATTTCGCGCCAATCTCCACCAACCTCTGAACAAGATTATCTGACTTTCGATAGATGGTGCATTTATCTCAGAGAAACACTTTATGATACTAAAGGTTGGCGGGATCGGTACAGCGTTTGATAGGTATGGGTGTGGTACTGGGCGAGTTCAAGAATTGTGATCAGAAGATGTTGCTTCGAAATTGTGACCTAAAACACGGATGGGAGTTCAAATGTGTTTGGCTATAACATGCGAGTCATGTGGTATTGCCCGTAATGTCTACTGAAAAATTAACCAAATATATAAATAAAATAATTTTCAAATGTTCATAGCATGTCCAGTATGTACCATTATGGAGGTTGATATTCAATATTTAATTTTCATCAGAAAGCATGGAAATTTCAAATATATGTTACACCAGAAGATAACAAAAATAACCGCAACACATTTATGACTTACTATCGAAGTCATAAAAGTGACCCTTTGGTTTTCCTGCTAATGTACTGAAAGAGAATATAAAATAATGAATTAAGTCTATGCATATACCTAAGTTTACATACTTTTCATTCAATAGGCTCATACCTACTTAAGATCATATTTTTTAATTTCTTCATTTATTTTTTTATTACATATTTCCCTGATTATCATAGTACCCAGAAGAGGAAATTGTATCAACTGCTACTGGCTACTTTTCAGTCTAGGGAATGGACAAAATAACGTATTACACAACTTTATGATTAGTGTTATATACCAAGAAAGTCTGTTGTTAGGGTACCTGAATCTGGGTTACCGATAGGCTGTACTTACAGTTCAGGTTGCAGAAGTAACAAATTCACATCGAATTTTAGTGGTGAGATTTCTTGAAAAACTAAAAATAAGGCAGATGAGAGAATAAAGTAATCCTAATTGGACACTTATTTTCCGACATCTCAAGACTCCATATAGAAGGTGTTGTGACTAGCTTGACAGCTATCTTTCTTTGAATGACATGCAGAATCATGTGTTTACACAGATGACCAATGGAACATAGAGCCTAAACTTCTACAGTGGGGCATGAATGTTTGTTTCTTGTGTTATATTAATTGTAGGGTCCTTGCACTGGGCTGATCCCTCACTCATGGGGGCTTAATGTTATATAAAAGTTGTCAGGCTTGTTCATAATGTATATATTCTATTAAATTCAGTGATATTGCTAAAAATTCAAGGTTCTGGATAAAAGAACAAATGTTTGAACAACTTACATATTCTATGTTGTCACACTGTGTAGTTCTTTGACTGTGTAGCACACAGTGCAACAACCCAGAAGACCACCAATATTCACAGCACCATGAAAACCACAAATTTTACAACTTAATATAAATTACACTTCCTTAAATATGATCGCATGTCAAAACTTGGATGGTTTCCGGCAGATGTTCGACTCTTCATTCATTCTTCCCATCTGATGATGTTCGGAGAGGATATCACCGATGACATATCATCAGGATCAGTCAGGTTAAGTGTCTCATGCCAACACACATGAAGCAATGTGATATGGAGGCAACGCATAAAACACACAATGCAGGGATTGCAAAAGACCGTCCATCAGAACTAAGTAGATACTTTTCACTACTCACACAAGCATCAAGGCATCCTCTACTGCTCTTAATTATTCCATAACTCATAAAAGGAACTTTACAGAGCTGTACTACAATGAATAAAATACCTGGTACTCTGTCCTTTGGATTGCGTTCGGTTGGAATCAGAATGATTGCAGCTATAATGGTCACTGTAACAGTTCTGCAACTCCCCGCAGAACCCCAAAATCCAACACCGCTAACCTGTCAACTGACTTGATCCTGAGCCAGTTCTATCCACCTACCACTCTCACAACTTATCTGTCTTAATGTCATCCCCTTACCTGCTCGGACTTCAAAGAAGTTTCCGCCACTAAAATTCGGTGAGATTCGAGCAACATGACATTTTATGGTGCGCTCTTTGATTCCACCCAAATAACGCTCTTACGTGACGTAACATAGATAAATTTACAAAGTTCCTTGTTATGTAATGTCCTAAATTGCATACTTACGTCATTTTTCTTACGTATGAATAATTTCTTGAATACTTTAGTTTTTTAAGCTTTTGTAATTTATGTAATTTCCCAAACGTACGAAGCTACAGCTATGAAAAATAAAAACGAAGAAATGTAATTACTCATCACGACAAGGGCTGACTCATAATTCTGTCCCGGTTTAAAGAAATTAAACTCTGAAATGAATTTGTGGGCAGTCATGTTAAGCACTTATAAAAATGTAAACCGTAAAAACAAAAACTTGAAGTTTGCTCCAATTTTATGTACTTTGTATCGCATCCACCGGTTTGTTCATTTCAGTGTTATAATTTCTTTAAATCGGGACCTAATTCTGACTCAGTCAGCTAAGACTTCGAGCGGTTTTTGCGAGTCGGACTGTGAAAACCACCACCTCCAAGACGAAGAAACCTTGCGTGAATTTCACTGGTTACATTCTCTGAGGTCTTACTGATTAAGGGATAGAAAAAATAACGTTATGAGAGCTTTATAAGGCTCCTTTGTATTCTTGAACAAATAATACTAGGTCGATTAAAGCCACGAATATAAGATAAACGGTACATGCAACACGCACGGGGATACGAGAAATACTCAGGCAAACTCTCATTCGAAAGGAACCAAATGGGAAGAGCCGACTTGCGAAACTACTCTCGTAGACAGGAGTATAATATTAAAATGTACACTAAAGAAATTGTGGGTGTACGTGGTTGCGGATTGGATTTATCTGGTTTAGGATACGATGCAATGATGTTACCGAGGTGCCATAAACTTTTCGTGGAATTGGCAGTTTGCTTTGCCGTTAATTCAAACTCTTTCCTGTCGATAAACGCAGTCTCACGGACCACAATTTGCTCAGATGCGCACTGATATCATTGCTCCATCTATGTGCATGTCTTATCGAGTGATTACTCTTCCACTCATTAATACAATATACAATATATAAAGTTATTTAGGCTATTCATCATTTGGCTGCAGAATTTGACAATGCATAGGAAACTAATCACGACAAAATTATTGGTGAAAGTCAAAAATATTATAAGTCTAAACAATATGCTTATTCAAATACCATATATGTAAACGTGGTGTATAATTTTACTCACGGACGAAACGATAAAGCCATTTCGAATATATTTAAAATAATGACAATGTGTCAGTGCTATGGATGAATATTTGTCATATAAATTTCAGGTTTTCATGGCGGTGAATATGGGTATTAGTCTCTCTTCCATAGTTTGACCTTGGGTGGAAGAGGTCTCTCCTGGAGACTGCCGGCGCATATCAATTACTGAAAGAGAGAGAAACAAGTGGTATTTTACATAGAAACAAGATTTTCAGCAATTAATTTAGAACATTTTGAAGTGATAATTCTTGCAGAAAATGGTATCCTTATAAAAAATTGTCATTTTAATTAAGCCTTAATTGACAAGAACAGAACATGAAAAATGATGGAATTGGAATATTACAGTGACATGAAAGAATCTGATATAATTAGTGTCTATTCAAACTTCCAACGCTGTGCTAGTATAAACCAT